CGGCCATAGAAGCAATTTTTCTGGTGCCAACACAGGGGCGTGGATGTCTTCTGAAGTTCTTATTCTGTCTTAACTTAAAGCTTCATATCAAAATCAACGGTCTGCGTGGACAAGAGAAATAAATCAGAATATAGTCAACTGTTTGCCCTTTATTTCAATCAGGGGAGCGGTGGTTATTTTGTATTTTTTTATTTTTTGTTTCCCCCAAGATATCTTAGAACTGATCTTTGCATAAAACTTATCGCAGGCAGATTTTCTTTTTATTCTCGATCAAAGAAAATTTTACTTTTTTGCGTCATTAATAACTTAATTAATTAACCTGTTTTAATATTTAATTATTAAAGTTATTAATTATTTTTAAAATTAGTACATCATTGCAAATTGTACACATTTTTTATTGCTATGCAAACAGAAAGAAAAAAAAAAGATTGTATGCCTTGTAGAGGAGGGGGGGCTACCCTTCTCCCATAATTAGAAGGATTTCTATTTTAAAACACAGATTTCTTATATTTGAACATATTGCTATGAAATTTTAAGAAAATGAAATACCTTTGAAGTAATCATCACGTAGTAAGAGAAGGCACTGAATCGATCACACAATGTTATTGATCTAATACCAGTACTCCTGTATCACGTTCACGGACTCCTTCATCAACCATCCATTATCACAAACTGGTTCTTAGAACGGACCATTGTTACGTTCTCCCTTTTATTTTATTTGTTTCGTGGGTTGTTGATTTTTTTTTTTTTATTACGGACCCATGGTGGGGTGAAAAGTGGGGGGAAAGAGGGTGAGGTGTGGTCTTTTGGCCTATATGTAAGCGCGCGAACACCAGCGTCGGCCGCGCGAGCGATGCCCCAGTTTCTCTTAGCAAGGGAGGTGAGAGACAAAACACAAAGATCGGTCCACAAAATGTATTGATCAGCTGGGGGTGAGCTCTGGTGCCACGCTCACCCACTTTCACAGTGTCACACGCCGTCAGCAGGACAAACTCGAGTTCACCTGTTGAATTTTTCTAAGCTTACATTTTTAAAATTGTGTTAATTAATATTACCTGACGCTGACAAGCGTTAAGTGCAGTTGATATGATGCTTGACGATTGACGATTAGCGTTCGTGGTAACTGCGTAGACCAGCGATTCTCAACCTCTGGGTCACGACTCCGGGGGGGGGGGTCGAACGACCCTTACACAGAGGTCGCCTAAGACCGTCGGACAACACATATGTATGAAGAGTTCAACGAAAATAATATTATGGTTCGAGGTCACCAACAACATGAGGAACTGTATTTAAGGGTAATTATGACGTTTAAGAGCCACTGGCGGAGATGCACGAACTCGAAATGACGAAAGGTTTTGGGGGAGGGAGTCAGATTACGAATTTCATTCATTTGTTGTTGTTTTTTTTGTTGTTGTTGTTGTTGGGGTGGGGGAGGGGGAGGGAAAAATCAAAGAAGGGGTGGGAGACGCTTGTGTTTGGCAATAAAATGTCACATTTATCAGGGGCTTAGGAAAGAGGGGGGTGAGTGGGGGGGTGCCCCGAGTGGAACCTTTGTTATTTACATGGTGGGGCGGCAGTTTCGGACCAATGCAGAGGTTTTTATTGGAAGGGGCGGAAAAAATCTTGACCCTCCCAGGGCGGCTCTAACCCAAGCTGCCCCCCCCCCCCAGGTTGACACTTTACACGAAAAGGTGATTTAAAACAATAAATTCATATTTCCATTTTTTTTTTAAAATA